GAAAGAAGTTTGCAAATTTTGTTCAAGCAGCTCTGATCATTGTGAACCAGCATAACATAGAAGCCAGACTATGACCCCTGGTTTGCAGCAGGGTCTCTTGCATTTGCCCTGAATTGCCCTGTGCCTTTCCCTATTGCCATCTATTTTGGGGCAGCTGTGCCACTGCCACCCCTTGTGCCCCCCAGGAAAACCACCCAGCTGCATCACCCCTCCTGCCCCCAGAGCTGCCCAGCAGCCCCAGGTGGCTCAGCATCCCTGGCCCACATGGCAGAAAACAAACCTCACAGCTACACCTCTTGCCCATGTGAGCATTAACACATTTTTTTCAAAAGAAGACCTTGGATACCTTTGCCAAGGCCTGGTTGGATTTGGTTGGGTTTTGGCCACCACTACACATCAGGGCCCTGTGGGCTCCAGGACCCCACAGTCTTGCTGCCACCTGTGTGAACCCTGATGGCAGGACCCAAACCAGACCCAGCTCTTCCTTCAGTGTAACCTTCACCTGCACCCATCCTGATTGTGCCCTTTCTCTTGGAGCTACGTCCTAAAAAACATCTTTGCACTTGTCTGTTGCAAGGATTAGCAGCTTCATAGGTTGTTTCCAGCAGAAGCTGTGAGTATTTAGGGTATTTGTGTGACCATAATTAAGAAGAACCTAGATCATTAAAAATAATACACTTCACATGGGAGAGGAGGAAGCCTGCTTCATAAGACCCTTTTCTGCTGAAAAATTCATTGCTGTAAATAATTAATGGTCCTCATGAAGAAGGATGGTTTTCATGTTGTGGAGTGGAAGGTGAAACTCAGGCATTGGGCAGAGTAATCCTTTTTTTGTTGTTTATGAGTCCTTGTTTCCTCCTCATGCTGCTGCCCTGGGAGTGGTGGGGAGCAAGGCTGTAGCTGCTCTCCCTGCAGCCAGGTGGGTGTGTGTGACCCCACCCCAAATAGCATGGACCCCTCCTGGTGTACAGAAGGGACAAGGGGCTGGGACCAGGGTAGTCTCAAACTCATCTCTTTTGCCCTGAAGCAGCACATCTCTTTTTGGGTCTTGGTGGATTGGAAGGCACCAGAGAGGAGCAGATAACTCTGCTGCCACAGTCCCTGCCAAAACAGCCTCTCTGTTTCTCTTGGTAGTGGTTTGTACTGCTGTGCCTTTTGCATTGCACATCAGGAATTAACTTATTGCTGGGACAGCATTTGCATTGCTGGTGTGGAATATAAATAGGCTATAAATAAGATGCTGATTTTTAATCACTGCACAGCACTGAGGGAAGCACTCACACTGGGGTGTCAAGGTGCTGCCTGTGCTCCCCTGGCCAGCACCAGGCTGTCCCTTTTTGGAGCAGTGGCAGCTCCCCAGCAGGAACCTGAAGGCAGCAGCTCTGCCAGCCCAGCACCAGCCACTCCAGCTGCTAAAAAACAGC